TAAGATGTTAGCAATAGGGAATACTGACAGAACTCTTCGTACTATCTTTGCAACTTTTATGTAAATCTAATACATTCCAAAATTAAAAGTTTCCTTTTTTAAAAAAAGAGGGTAGCTAGGTACAAATTAAAATGAACTTAACGATAATCTTTATTTCCATAGTGTGAGCATTCAAAAAAGCATTTCCAGTTATTAAGTTCCCTCCCCAGTCCCACCTCTAGCTCTAGAAAAAAATTTCTTCCAGTTTCGATATAACTCAAGGGACAAACATCTCTTTCCTGGGTTATGACATTCACACTATAATAAAACGAACATCCTCACTGTCTCAATCCCCCACACACCAGGTCCATCCGCCACAGATACACTACTCTGTACTCTGTGTTCAAACCTTTAACAAGTATGCTCAATACCTACAGGTCCTAATTAAGGGATAAAAGATGCCTTTCTTTGCCAAACCTCCATGGCCTTACCTACTGCAACTACAGACTTACCCTTTAAGCTCTAGTATGAAACTATTAGTTGCCTCCTGAGTAGTTCATGGTATTTTCACGCATGCATTTCCTTTGCCAGAAGTTATACTTTTCTCCACACATTAGATGCTACAGTAAATGCCTACTAACACTTTAACACCCAACATTTAGGAATCATATCATTCACACAGCTTTCTCTGATTCCCTTACTCTGACAAAATCAGATTTTCTACCGTCTTTACACTTTACGTCTTATGTGGAAATTATTATTGTACCTAGCATACTATGTTGCAATTATTTGCTCATGAGTATTTCTTCTATTAGATTATAAACTCCTTAAAGGCAAGAATTATGTTTTATCTGTCTTTACATATCTAGAACCCAATACAGCACTCTATACATCCAAAGAAATGTAAAAACTTTGTTAATGGTGGTGATTTACAAGTATGTTATTATTATGTGATAAATTCTGCTCATTGAAACTCGTATTCTTGATTTCAAAGGTTTAAAATCTCTGATCCAAATTAGTATTTTTTACTGCATGGATCTAATCTATTGGCTTATTTTTTGAGGAGCATTTGCTGTTTTTCAACCTCAACTTTAAGAGTTCAAACTGGAGAGAAGTATCTCAATTTTTTAAATATATTATGAAAGGATATGCTGGGCTAGGAATGCTTAGAAGGGACCTAAAGAGTCATTATTTACTTAAAAGAAGCAATAGTTAAGCTCTACTAGGATTAAAGAATAGGTCTATGATTACTTAACTCTGTTGTTTTAGGAACACACACAAATATACAAATAAAAATCTACACCAAATCAGGACTATTTACTTTTTTAAACTGCAGAGAGAAGTTTTGTCCATCCAGTTCTCATTGTACAGTATATGTACTTAAGTACTTAATAAACATAGGCTTTTAATGATATTGAAGAGAGGAACAGAGAATGTCCTATTAAGAATAACATAAGATACTCTGTTTTTTAGCAGCTCCGTTTCTGTATTTCTTCAGGAAATGAGGATGGCTACCCTGTTATAAAACAGGCTTCTGAACTTAATTACATGCTGGTCATCTATTCAGTAAATTCATAGGATAAGGCTGATTCCCTGAAGGGGAAATTTATTAATGGTAAAACCACACTAGCTCAATTTCCTCATTATTTTGGTCTAAATTTGTTGTAATAGGCTATAATGGCAATAAAATACAAGGAAGAAAGTTGCTAAGAATAGTACACATTTTAGGGGGTTTGTATCAAGTTTTAAAAAAATAAGCTCCCTGCCTTTTGTAAAATCATTCAATAATGAGAAGAAATCCAAGAAACCATGTTCCCTTTAAGACTAAATCTGGCCTTCCTAGGCTGAGTACTATACAATACCAAAAAGATAGCCAACCAGGTACCTGTACATACCTGGTATCTGGTTTAAGTCCACCACCAACAATGAGTAGTTGGATGACCTAACGAAGTCATTGATCCAGCACCCCACTTTCTCATCAGTAAAAAGAGTGGGACTAGTGACAAGATCTCTTAGTCCCTTCCAGCTCTAACATCCTGCAAGTCTAATCATTAGTATTTCACACTCCAAATTTGACGGAGTCTGGACTTTAATTAGGGAAGAAGGGAAAAATCTCTATAGAAAAAAAGAGGTAGAGAAAGAGAAGATTAATTGCTGTTCTATGTTATACTACATTTGCTTTTCTATCACTTTCATCAGCTATGCCAGCTACAGAATAAAATCATCTACTTAAACCAGTATTTCTTACATTAGATCATACAATTCCACTAACACAGGTAGCTCTACTGAAAAAAATAACTCTAATGTTGTCTGTTTTACTTTGGTTTTGGGGCAAGTTTGCTCTTTGTATTCTTATATTTGGATTCAAAGAACCCCTTTAAAAATTTCATCTAGCTATACACAAAACATAAATTTGTGCACTTGCTCTATGTATTTTATGCTCCAACAAAAAGTTTACTTTAAAAAAGATATTCAAGGGGCGCCTGGGGGGCTCAGTCAGTTAAGCGTCCAACTCTTGATTTGGGCTCAGGCCATTATCTCACTGTTCCTGAGATAGAGCCCTGGGTCTCTGCACGGACAGCATGGACCCTGCTTGGGATTCTCTCTCTCTGACCGCCCCCACCCCCCACACTCTCTCTCAAAATAAATAAATAAAATTCAAAAAGAAAAGACATTCAACATATAGTCAGAATACACATTTCCTAAAATTTTAAAGTAAATACAATTTTTGTTAAGCACAATCTAACTGGCTCTCTCCTGTACCATGTCTAAAAGTGAAGGTTAATGGACATGTTACTAAAGAGTTGCACTATTTTGCTACAAGCCAAAGCCAAGATTTATAAACAAAACTAGATACAAACTCATAAGTAATTCACCTTTTGGGGGTAACAAGAACAAATGTTTTGCTGCCTAACCTGTGTGGGAAGTCTCTTGCCTAAGTAACACAGTCAAATGTCCAGTTTAGTGTTAGGATTTTTGGGGGGCAATGGGAGGGACCTGAGGGAGTGGGGGTAGAAGTTTATTTGGTCAGCTCTTTTGGCAAGGAAGCAAAAGGGCTAAGTCAAAAGTCATGTGATCTATGAACACAGTATTACAGAAAGAACGTAGAACCTTACTGTCAATAACTTGAAATTGGACTGTAAACTAATTACTTGATGTTGAACTCTCTCAAGCATCTTATTTGTAAAATGGAAATAGTATGTACCATAGAGAAATACTGGTAATAGTGTTGCTGAAAAGATCAAATGAGGCACTAACATGATAACACTTAAAAACAGTTCAGAAATAGTAATAGTAACAGCAGCAACAGTAGTAGTAATAGGAGTTAATGTTTATGGAGCATTTATTTTATTTTAATCACTGTTGGAAACACTACGTGTTTTACTCATTATCCTCGTAGCTATCACATCTTGTATCTATTATTATTATTCCTATTTTATAGATGAGGAAATGGAGGCTCAGAGTAGTTAAGTAATTTGCTGTGAGGCACACAGTTAATAAATGATGGAGTCAGGACTCAACCAATCCAAACGATCTGACTCCAGAACTCTTAACCACCAAAGATGCTATTGTCTTGATGGCAGAAAGACCAAGGTGCCATATAAATGCTATCCCAGAATAATAGGTTAGCCTTTGAATGGTCCCATAGTTCCTGATGACTCAGACCATGTTTGAGAAAAACTCTTAGACCAAAGACCTGTTTGCCCTTGGTGGGAAAAGTATTTTGTGATGCTTCTCCCAACTGAGTATAAGTAGGTCATTTTGTTAGGAGCAACAACAGTAAAAAAACAAATTGTCCTGAAGTGATGATTTTAACGTATTAGCAGCAATCAATTATTTTTATCACAAACTTCACTGAGTTTTAAGAGATTGTTTCTTTGACCTGATACAGTAATTGTCTGTGTTGGGTCTGCCCATAAAATAAAAACTGAATCAGAAATTGTGTTAGGTATTTGAACCACTTACCATTAAAGTGGTTTTAAATTGGCTGTTATAGAACTCATTCAAAATATATAATAGTCATTGACCTGGTCGTAGTATCTGTCCCTACATAAACTAACATCTCCACTAAACCTACTCTTCAACCTTAATGAAGATGGGGCAATCAAAACTGTTCAAGAGTGGTTAGAATCAAGAAGAGCTGGTTTGGTTGGCTTTTCGCAAGCTGGAAAGAGGGGGCAGAACTGCCCTGTCTTTTCCATATGCTGTGCCTACATCAGGAGAGAAGTGTTTTTTTAATACCTGGGTCGTATGACAATGGAAGCTGTGATAAGCTACTTACTTATATATCCCAAAGTACATCCACCAGAATAAAACATTAAGGGTTTTTTAATACATAAGGAAGAGAACATTCGTCAATCCTCCTTTTGGAAGGAACCTTAAAAACAAGTCAGTCACAGAGTTCAGCTCACAACTGCACAGAGAAGTAAATGGAAAAACAGGATTTGACCTTGAGGTCAACCCCTATGGACTATGACCTGGGGAACCCAGCGTGGTCCTGCCAGACCAAAGCAAGAGACTGCAATTCACAGTGTAAGTTTACTTTACAACCTGGGAAAATAAGAAGTTAGTGAAATAATTATAGTTCCTAGTCCTTTGGACAAAATGAAGGGAAGGGATGATGCAACACCCTGAGCTAGAAGCATAAAAGAAAGAAAAAGTTTCTAATAAAAACCTAGCAGTTAGAGATGCTCCTGACTTTCTAAATATACCCAAGTCTGTGAGTAAGGGGCAACAGAATGGCATATTTAGATCTCTGGTCTACCACGCAAAGATTAACCATAAAAGTTCATTTTTACTTGTGAGTTTCTTCACTGAAACCACATCCAGAATTCCCAAGAGTACAAGAGACAAATCAGACTATGATATTGATTACAGAATGAACATACACAGGTCAGAAATAAAAATTTCATTCACACAAAAATATCCTATCTTCAAAGCATGAAGAAAACTACAAAGCATGCTATTAGAGCTAACTTTATTTTGTTAAATGTATTAGATGATGGGAAACAAAAATGTACCTGAGATAGCTTCCAAAATAAGCAACAATATTTGGGTGTTTACAGTCTTTCATCATAATAATTTCTTGCTGTACAACTGCAAAATCTTCTCCTAGAATAAAAAACAAGCATGTCGAATATTTAGTAGGTAAGTTTCAAAATGTCAATTTGTTTCAAAACATAATAATGTTACTGATGTTATATTTAATTACACTTTCAGTCTTTAGTTAACAAAAAGTACAGTGATTAAAAGTGTGAACTCAGGTCCCAGACTATCTAGATTCAAATACTAACTCTGTCCCTTACTAAGCTGTGTTAATTTGAGCAAGTTACTTGACCTGTGCCAATTTCTTCCTCTGCAAAATGGGGATAGAAATAGTAATAATTTGTCCTAAGACTGTTGGAAAAATTAAATGGGCTAATTTGTGTAAAATGCTTAGAATGGTGCCTGGTACAGAGTAAGTGCTATATAAACATTTGTTATTATTACTATTACACACTGGACATAATCATCATATAATTCACTAGAAAACATACACAGCTTTTTTCCTTTATTACCAAATAACATTTAATATAATGACAGCACAAGGAAGTAGTTCTTTTTAAGTTAGGGCAGGAACCCTTATGCACCAAGAGTGTCAAATATACCTCCACAGGCTCTTGGCTGAGAGAGCCACCCTCTAGCAGCACTGGGTTACCAGATGGCCCACATACACAGGCTTCTCCTATATTCAACTGCCTTGTTCCAGCCATATTCAGATGCAGAATGGAATTGTATTTAGCCTGGTCAGACTATTAGCAAATAATCTCCTTCCACTCCCTTCTTGCCCAAATTCTCCAAAATAAGATCTGGCAATTCTATAGCAGTGTTGCATGGTATGGCTCCTGAATGAACACTTGTGATAGAAAGAGAACTGCAGTGAATGCAAATGTGGTGAACCAGGGACCAGGTAGAAGGGACAAATGGTAGTCCTTACATCTACATGAAAGTAGCTTTGCACTACTTTCAGTTTTTAAAAGCTTTATATACTATGAACAGCCTCATTTTCAATGTATATTAGTGGCAAAGTAAGAAACGGATTCCCTAAATTACAGCTCAAACTGTAAATATGAGGTCATTATGGCAAGCCCTGACATTTCTTGCCTTGGCAGTTTCCTACTGTAAACCTAATTGAGACTTGAAGTAGCCTAGCCATGAACCATTTGAACCCAATGTCAAAACCCACTCTACTGTCCCAGTTACAAGGGAAGAAATAAAAGAGAAAAGGCAGTATGTCAGATTCTTAATTTCTGCAATGAAGTAAATACAAAATTAAAGATCTCCAAAGGGAGAACGGAAAACTTATATGCTTCCAAATTTTCAGAAGAAAATCACTGAACTAGGATTCTCTTCTGACTTTATTCCCCATCATTAAGAATTCCTGATATTCATCATATTAAGAAAAATCCAATTTGCAACAATAAATTAAAAATCTAATTAGAAATAATAAAGCCAAATAAAACTAATACCAAATTTCAGGGACATATTAAATACTTTGAAAGTTCTAAATTTTGCTTTTTCACCTGCCTCTCAATTACGCATTTCCCCAAAGCAGTGAAGGGCTTACACGAGATCAAAGTTGATCTAGTTTGATGGTCAGAGGATAACAGCTATTGTTCTGGTGGTAGTCATTCTACAACCTCAAAGGGAGATAGCTTTAGAATAAAGTTCATCTGTAGAAAGCATTGAGGAGAAACAGGAAAACAGGGGAAGGAAGAAGGCTTGCCTGAGCCACCGCAGCTAGCCTCATCTGACTCTGTAAGCTTCAGATATACCTCCACGTGATCAATAAATTCCCTGTTTGTATTGTTTAAGCTACCCTGAGTTGTGGTTTCTGTTACTCACAACTGTATCACATCTTCTATGGTGATCTTTGCACATATCATAGCCCTTATGACACTGCATCAGTGCATGTCTACGTTCTCACTAGAATATCACATCCTCTGGAACAAGATTATGTCTTAGTCATCTTTGTATCCATAGCCACTAATATGTGATCAATAGAACTGTTGCCTGAATGAATCTGTAATGCCACATAATTCCTCTACAAGCTGACACTAAATCAAGAATGCTGCTTTTGGTTTAATTTCAACCAGTTATTACCATGTTTTATATAATTAATTGCTTATTTGCTACTCTCATGTTTTACAAAAACCTGTGAATGGCTTTAAGTCTTCAACTACCCTCTTTCCCAGAAACTGGTGTTAACCCAAAGTGCTTCCTTTTTTCTTATCAAGTCATTTCTATGTGCTTAGGAGAATGGCTGAGTTAAATTCAACATTTTGGGGGGGGGGAGTAAAAAAAACTCCACGATTTGATTTTTAAAGGTAACTGAAAAAGGGTGATTTGGGTAGGAAAAAAAGAAAACAGAGTTTTAATACAGCAGTAATCCAAAGAAGCCTTACAGTAGATTTAAAGCGCTTTCATCAAAGCTCCAGAGAACTATATTTCAAAGAATAAATTAACAGGCACCCCCATCCCAAATCCTAGCACATTTAATTGGATACTGTAGACTGGGATGGTTATACCAGACAATTTCTACAGATTCTTTCCAATTCTGAGAGTCTAGGATTTTATGTAAAATTTTAGACACTGAAGTAAGGAATATATTTTCCAAAAAAATGGCAGAGAAAGAGAAGGCAAGGAAAAGGAAAAAGGGGGAAGGGGGAAGGGGGGAAGGAAAGAAAAGAAAAGAAAAGAAAAGAAAAGAAAAGAAAAGAAAAGAAAAGAAAAGAAAAGAAAACCATAACTGAGAAAAACAGGCAAACCTGTAAGTAGACCAGATCATGAATAAACAGGCAGAAAAACAGAAACTAAGACATGTAAATTTCTCTAAATAAACATGACACACATTGTGTTCAATAAATGTTAACTATTTGCAGGAGGCTGAATAATGGCCCTAGAAGGGTCCTAATCCTTAAAACTTGTCAATATGACCGTATATGGCAAAAGGGTTTTTACAAGTGTGATGAAATTAAGGATCTTGAGATGGGGAAATTACCCTGAATTCTCTGGATCATCTAAGTGGAATCACAAGTGTCCTTGTAAGAGGGAAGAAGAGGGAGACTTGACTATAAGAAGGCAAGAAGCAAGTTGCTATGCTTTGAAGATGAAGGAAGAGGCCAAGAATTAAGGAGTGCAAGGAATGTGGCTCTAGAAGCTAGAAAAGGCAAGCAAAGAGATTCTCCCTTAGAGTCTCCAGAGAGAGTGCAGCCCTGTTGACACTTGGCTCTTGACCCAGTGAAACACACTCTGGATTTCAGAATTCCAGAACTCTAAGAGAAAAAGGTGTGCTTTTCAAGCCGTCAAGTTTGGTAGTAAGTTGTTACAGCAGCCACAGGAAATTAACACATTATTACTATCAACATTATTACTGTGGCAGAGCTGGCTAGCCATTCTCAATCTGTGTTCTCCTTCCGCAGTGTAGAAGTTATTGGTGAGAGACAATCATCTAGTCAAAGATGACACTTCCTTCACAGTGAACACTGATGCGCCTAAGGACTAGTTCTTGCCAATGGAAACTGAGCAAAAGTAATGTGTCCTTGTTGCACGATTTATTTCCCTATCAGCAAACTACATGACACTGTGAGGCCCCAGGAATTGCAAGAAGTCTGGGTCCCTGAGTCACTAAAAGGAAGAAAGTCATCCAACAACTTGAACATCTGCACTGAACTATTATATAAACTTGATTATGTTAAGCCATTCATATGTTCTAGTTTAGTTATTACAGTAGTCAACATTATTCTAAGCTGATAGAATTATTACCATCCATTTACGAAAAACGTTGTCCAAACTGTAGTAGGTGCTTCACAAATGTTTTAGAGTTTTAACAAACTTTTTTTTTTTAACAAAAAAAGACTCAGTTCTTCCATTTAATAAAGAACAGATACAATGAAAGATAACAATGAACCAGATTATAGACATTTCTATTTGGTATACAATGCTTTCCTGTAAACAGCTATATTTAGTCAGACGTGTGAGAACAAACGAGGAGACTTCAATGCCATGGAGGTGGGTCTTTCCCTGAAAACTACAACAAAACACAGAATCCCTAATACCTCCTTGCCTTTTAGATACAAACTGACAATCACTGTATTTCCAAAATTTCATAAAATTCTTTACTTTTTCTTTGACAAAATAATACTTAAGTCAAATATCCAACTAACTGCTTTTTTGGTATGCCTCGTTATTTTCACTGGTGTCAACTGTGTATGTTTTATAAAGTACATTAACACAAGCATTTTGAATTAATAAACTACTTACTTTTTTATAAAACTGTAATAAGAATTCAGTAATATAATTATACAAATATTGCTGTTCAGATAAATATTGTGAAACTGTCAAAACGGAACTATTTCACTTAGCATAATACTCTCCAGTTCCATCCACGTTGCTACAAATGGCCAGATTTCATTCTTTCTCATTGCCAAGTAGTATTCCATTGTATATATAAACCACATCTTCTTTATCCATTTGAAGGTTGATGGGGGGTGGGGGAAAGAGGAAAGTGGGTGATGGGCATTGAGGAGGGCACCTGCTGGGATGAGCAGTGGGTGTTGTATGGAAACCAATTTGACAATAAGTTATATTAAAAATAAATAAATAAAACAAAATAAATAAATGCAAAAAAAATAAAACATGAAAAAAATGGAACTATTGGTTAAGAGGTAGCAATGTCATTTGGTCTGTGTAACAGCTTATGGATCTAATTCCATCCAAGTCGTTGTATGAAGGCAGTTGACATGTCCCTTCACACTAAACAGAAGTACAGTTTATCTGAAAATCAAACCAGGAAAATTTAAGGATTATCTTGCATTGGGAAGTGAGCCAAGAGACAAGTATGTTCGTGTCTTCAAAGAACCAAGTCTTAAGTCTATCTGTAAACTGTGTATTCTATTTCCCTAGTTCTGCTCCCTGTGAAGTAAACACAAGTTTACAAGGCATCCTCAATTTCCCTTGGTGTTCTTATTTTGTTTCCTGTATCCTATTTTGTTTCTTTGTTTTCTTATTTTCCTTCAGTCATCTTTATGTTTTTCTTCTAAGTGTTTGACATCTTCACAATCCTAATAAGT